TTTTTAAAAAAAAAAAAAAAAAAAAAAAAAGAGTGAACCTAAAGTCTGGGGTTTGGTTTACCAGCATATGGCAAAGTCCTGGAAACTATGGCACATGAAGAACAATGGAAAAAACAGGATGCTTAGACTGAGAAGATGAGCTGGAATGTGGAAAGACAAAACTTTCAAAGCTTCTCTTGTAGGTAAGGGGATCTCTTGAAGTTTTGAATGGGAAAATGACATGCCAGAGTAACTCCTTGTGAAATTTGGATTCATTATTGGTCTATAGGATGAGTCTGTCAGTAAGAGTCAGAGAAACCAACGAGGATGTTACTGTGTAAGTACAGAGTGACCCCAATTTGTGTCTATCACACACACACACTCACACACACACACACACAATCAGAATAAGTAGCTAGGCCCAGTTATCGTAGTGTGCACTGCTTTGCAGGCTTAAGCCACATTTGATGCTCAGATTTTGTGTTTTTTCTCTTTTTTTTAAAGAATTATTTCCTTTCTTTAATTTAATTTAATTTATTTATTTGGAGAGGTTTTTGCTATAGGGTGTGTGCACTTGCCAGAAAGATAGAGACAGAGAGACAAAAAGCGAGAAATCACCCCCTGGGTGGATGGCCATGTTGCAATCCCTTCTTCTCCATTCTCCTCTCGGGATCTTGGGCATGCATTCACAAGCGCCCGGCGTGAGTTTAAGCCACTGGGTCTGGGACTTGAACAGGGACCAACATATGGTGTAGTGGTACATGGGAGTGGTACACGGTCGACTACATGGGAGTCCAGCAACATAGCCATTATGTCAACTGCTGGTCCCTCATTATTTTTATTATTTTTAATTTGACCAGAGACAGAGAAAGAGAGAGAAAGAGAAAGCAAAGACAAACTGCCAGATCTGGGACTCGAAGCTTGGTCAGCCATGTGGGAATCCAGCACTTTTAAGCACCACGCCACCTGCCAACTCCATAGGACACTCGATTTTAATTTCCAGCCTAACCCAAAAAGCTGGGCATGGGGACACGCACCCATAGTCCCAGCTACTTGGGAGGCTGAGGCAGGGGGATTACAACATAGCAAGACCCTGGCTAAAACGAAACAAAAGAAGGGACCAGCAGTTAGTGTAATGGCTATGTCAATGGACTCCCATGAAGTTGACCACGGTTCGAGTCACAGATCTGGTGGCTTATACTCACGCCGGGCACGTGTGTGTGTGTGCCCAAGATCCTGAGAGGAGAATGGAGGAGAAGGGATTGCGGCATGGACATCCCCCCGGGGGGGGCGTGCTTTCTCGCTTTCTATCTCTCTGTCTCTCTGTGTCTTTTTGGCGAGCACATGCGCCCTGTAGTGAGAAACCTCTCCCAAAAAAAAAAAAAAAAAAAAAAAAAACCCTAAGAGGGGAATGAAGGGAGGGGGCATG